ACACTTGTCTTAGTCTCGTTAGGGTGCCTTCAAAAAAAAAAAAAAACACTTTTTGAACCATGGAAAAAAACAATTTTGAGGTCAGGTTCAATATTAAATTTTTAACAAAACTCAAGTGGACATCTTCCCAAATCATTGCAGCTTTGCAACAAGTTTATGGGAATGCTGCCCCACATAAAACAGCAGTTTTTAGAGGGATCAAGTATTTTAAGGAAGGTCAGAAAGACCTCAAAGATGAGCCAAGAGAGGGAAGACCGTTCAGAATATACAGTGACTTTTTTTTGAGATTCCAAAAGGGTAATCTTGATAGATTTTCTCGGAGGACAGAGGGCTATCGGGGGGGCTTATTATGAAGAAGTTTTAAGAAAATTGAAAACTGCACTGATGACAAAAAGGCCAGGAAAGTTGCCTTGAGGAATTTTTTTCCTTCACGACAATGCACCTGCTCATTTACTGAGGGTAGCAACGGCTGTCCTACAAGAATTTCATTGAGAAATTTTACTCCATCTACCCTACAGCCCCTATTTTGCCCCTTCAGACCTCTTTTTGTTCCCAACACTCAAATAATATTTAAAAGGAACACGATTTGAGTCCCTTGAGGATGCCAAAACTGCTGTTTTTACATGGTATAAACTGAAGAGCTCAGAATTCTGTAAGGAAGGTATTAGAGAGAAGGAAACATCACCTTCAGAAGTGTATAGACCTAGATGGAGGTTATGTCAAGAAATAATAACTTTACATTTTGATATTTTTGCTTAATAAAGGTTTCTATAATTTTGTAGTAATACTTTTTGACTTACCCTCATACTCAAATAATGTCTTAAACGCATATAAGGGCTGAATGTGTTATTCTGAGTACTTTGTATGGGAGAATGAAAGAAAAAGGAAGAAAAGGGGGAAAATGCATGCGTCTCCGCTTTCGGAAGGCAAAAACATATTGTATTGCCAAAGATAGGGAAAGAAAATCTAACAAGTAGGGAAAATATTATCTAGTGAAGCAGAAATATGTAATGCTTGGGATATCATTTCAGCAATATCTTTTTGCCTTTCTGCTGCTAAATCTTATTTGCCAACTTGATGCCCTTACATACTCTTAAGGATGGATGGAAAACTTTCAAGTGCTGTTGACTCATTAAATAAAAAGCCAATGGAAGAGGTCGTCAATTTCTTGGGGAAAATGAAAATATTATTCTGAATTTCTTATAAAATACATAATTTTTAAAAATTAGAGTTGGATGCTGGTACTTTCTTAAGTGGGGTTCTTGCATTACTGTCAGGACATATTTTCTGGAAGATATTTCTGCTGTTCTTCTAGAGGCATCGAATCTCCTGTAAACGGTGCGGTTTCTGTTGTTTCTGACACATGAGGATTTGAGGGCATGATGAATACAACCTGTGAAATCAACCAGAACACTGTAGGTGAGTCACTCAAATTCCAGCCTCAGGGCCACATGTCATCATTATCAGAGTCTACTGTTTCTTCTCTGAATCCAGTCTCAAGATAGATCTGGTTGAATTTTTCCAGCATCTTTTATGTGACGCTAGACCTGGGGCAAACATTCAGTGATGGTTCCTGGCATGAGACGCTAATGGTTGCTTCTGTGTTCTGCAAATGGTTCAATCTTACGTTTGGCTTATGGTGCCCAACAAGTTGGGTAAACTTAGGTGTTAAGGTAAATAAATATAGAGTTCTTCTTCCAAACCAGGTAAATATAGAGCTTTAAACCAAGGTGTTAAGGTAAATATAGAATTCTTCTTCCCAACCAGAAAAAATGTCACCCAGAGAGAAGGTATTGGGAAATGAAAGGAGAGAAGATATTCTAGGAAAAATAGTTGTTGTTGCTGTTATTGTTAGTTGCTGTCGAGTTGATTCTGACTCATGGAGGCCCCATGCGTTACAGAATAGAACTGCTCCCTAGGGTTTTCTTGGGCGTAATCTTAATGGAAGCAGCATGCTGATGACAACAGCATAGCCAAACCATGACTTGCTGGCTGTGAGTAAAGCATTACAAAAACCACGCTGGACAGAATGATGACAGGAATCATCAGAAACTAAGGAAGGTTCTGGACTTTCTTCCACAAACTCAGGATGAAATGGGGAAGGTGTTGGAAGAGAGTTAGACATTATGTGCCCCCAAGCCAGTGGCATCACTAGGGTTGGTGTCACTCAGTATGTTAACTCATGGTGTCACCCTCTCTCATGGACCTCTCCAGCATCAGACCATACAGAATCCTTAGTAATGTTTTTCGTACTAATGTTACTCTAAATCATAATTCCTGTATATTACTCATTCTTTTCCTTTAATTACTGCTTTATTCTCAAAAAATTTATTGTTACAGGTTCACAAATAGTAATTACCAAAATACTGTAGCTGAAACATCAGAAAATTTGACAAAATTGTAACTATAAAAATATTGGCAACAACAAAACAACAATGTGTGCTTGTAGCACATGCAGATGAAACCCTGTTATTTGAAGCATCATTGTAATTGAGTAATAATGACAGTTCTGACTGGAGGGCATTAGCAGGTTTAAAAAAGTAAATTAGCATAGAGTTTTAGCCTTATAGGTATATTGGTACATGTAAGCTGGGCTTATGAAAAATGTTTTTTGTTGATATAACAACTATAGGGATATTTTTATAAAAGATAATAAATTTCTGCTGATAAACTGCACAAAAATTCTTTAGACAGTCATTTTGGTGTCACCCTCCCAACAGTGTCACCTGGTGCAGTTGATACTATCTGCATGCCCATAATGACGCCACTGCTGTTCCTCCTGGATTTACACTGGGAGATTAGAGGGGGCAAGATTCCCACTCTGTAGCTACTCTGTGAGCAGAATGGACCACGGGGATAAATGTTGTCATTAGAAGATTACTAAGGAGTTTGATGTCATGCCCAAATATCTCATTAAATGAAAATTAAAATGACAAAATCATTGGGAATTGCTGAGAAACTGTAACTTTTAGGGTCTTGTAGTGCAAAAACCCCATACTAGAGTTAATGTGATTAAGTCCATCTCTTTTCTGGTGGGGTGGGTGATATGGTGCAACATAGGAACCAAAAAGAAGGGAAAGAGGGACAAAAGGACAGAAAAGAACACCATAAAAACAATCTCATCAAACTATTATTTTATGATTTGGCTAGAGTCTCATCTTCTCCAGAGCCTCTGGATAACTGCAGTTAATGAGCAACTGTTGAGGTTTTAATATCTTGTTCCTCACCTCACCTCCCCTAAGAAGGAATCCTCACTTCTTAGTAGATATCCACTCAGCGGTATCATGGAAGTTCTGGTGATCTGCTTCCATCAAGATTATACCCAAGAGAACCCTATGGAGCAGTTTTGCTCTTTAACACATGGGCTGCCAAGAGTCAGAAGCAACTTGCGAGCAAGGAACAATAATACCACCACCACCAACTATTATTTCTAAAGTATTTTCTCCTTTCGTTTTCTAATACCCTGTCTCTGGATGACTTTCTTTCTGCTTAACAGCCAGTAGGATCTGCTGTTGGTCTCAGAGTAAGAGAATGGGTAGGTGTGCGCAAATGGATAGAGAAGTTTAAAACACTCACATTTCCCCAGAAGCCCAGAGAAGGCTGCTATAATAGGATAATGCAGTAAATTCTGGCACTCCTTGGGGATATCTCTATTGTGAAGTATTCCCAAATCTGGACTCAGATGGGAGGCCCTTTGAGGGAGTAAGGGTGGTGAAAATTCGTATTTTTTTTAGCCATGGTGGTAGTAGACTTCTACTATGACCTCCCAGTAACCCACACCTTGTATGATCCTCCTTCCCTTGAGTGTGGGTGGATTCTGTGAATATGATGAGATATCACTGCCATGATTAGCTTACTAATCAGTTGACTTTGCATTTATTAAAGAGACTTTCTTCAGGGTGGGCCTGACCTAATCAAGTGAGCCCTTTAAAAGAGTTTTAAAGCAGAAGAGACTTTTATTCTTCTGTTGGCCTCTGAGATGTAGTAGCCAAGAGTTCCACCGTTGAAAGGAAATGAATTCTGCCTTGGGGGCATGGAAGAGGATCATCAGACTCACATGACACCACAGCTCCAGCCGACACCTTGAGTGCAGCCTCGTAAGACCCTGAGCAAAGGATCCAGTTAAGCTGTGCCCAAACTCTTGACCCATGGAAACCTGGTGATAATAAATGTGTGCTGTTTTAAGTTTCTGGCATTTTCTTCCACAACAATAGAAAACTAATACAGATATCTTCAAGGGCAGCTCAATATTCACCCCACCAGAGTTACAACAGGTTACTTTGCATCCAAAGGCAGAGAGGGACACAGCAGTGCAGAACTCCAGCGCACTTAAAATGAGCACTAGACCATCCTTGCCCTAGGAACAAATCCATTACAAAGGAGCATGAAGATGGAGATGACAAGTTCCAAACACTGATCACTGATTGTAGGTCCAAAAGAGAAAAAGGACTGGCTAGGGCTCAGAAAAACCGGCTTCCACTGCAGCCACATCTATGGCCACTAATTTTCTCACTGATAAAATAATCATGGTTTTTTTTTTTGCTGTTGTTGTCGTTTTTCCCGCCCACTACTTTCCAGTGCTATTGTGAGCACAGAACATGAAAGTACTTTAAAAGGAGGGGAAAGGGATCATAAAGATTATTGTCATTTTAGTTCTTTTAGATACCAGAAATTCCATATAGTGAGCATTGTAATATGATCTCATAGCTTAGTCATTGTAGAAAATGTTCCCCCCAAAGTGTTCCATGCCCTAATACCCAGAATGTGTGAATATGTTAAATTACATGGCAAAGGCTGCTAATCCACTGGCTTTGAGATGGGGAGATTATCCTGGATTATCCAGATGGGACCTATGTAATTTGTATGCATTCTTATAAGTAGAAGTAAGAGGTAGAAGATCAGAGAGAGATTTGAAGATGCTGGGCCACTTACATTGAAGATAGAGGAAGGGTCCATGAGCTAAGGAATGCAGGTAGCCTCTAGAAGATGGAAAAGGCAAGGAACCAGATTCTCTTCTAGAGCTTGTGGAGGGAACGCAGCCCTGCTGACATCTTGGTTTTAGCCCAGTGAGATCCATTTCAGACTTCCACTTCCAGAAACGTAAGTTAATAAATTTGTTTTGTTTTAATTAACCAAGTTTGTGGTAATTTATTGCAGCAGTAATTAGAAACTAATGTAGCAATGAAGCCCTGATGGTGTATTGGTTAAGAGGTCAGCTACTAACCAAAAGGTCAGCAGTTCAATACCAGCAGCTGCTCCTTGGAAACACTATCAGGCAGTTCTACTCTGTCCTTTAGGGTTGCTATGAGTTGGAACTGACTTGATGGCACACAATAAAAACAACAACAACAATGTAGTAATGAACAACGAATGAGTCTGACTTTAAGTGATACCTTACGAGAACCAGCTTTAGGTCTAATTTTTAGCCAAAACACTTGGTCAGATTTGAGGGACATTGGGAAATACTGTTATTCCTAATAATCTTATCCTGAAGTGATGCCTGGGATTCTTTGGTTTAATCATTCTCTCCTTGCACAGGGATAGTCCTTCTGACGTGGAGGAACCCAAGGATGAGGGGCTCAGGATATAACACAGGCTCAAGTGGACCTAAGAAAATTTGTATTAATTATTTGCTTATCTATTCACTCATCCCTTGAACAAATATTTATTGAGTAACCTTTGTATTTTGAGTACAGTTGTAAGTACCAAAGATACTGGAACAAATAAAAAACAATTTCCTTGTTTTCAAGGATCTTTCCATCTAGAGGGTTAGACCAGAGGTTGGTAAACTTTTTCTGTAATGGGCCAGATAGTAAATACTTAAAGCTTTGCAGGCTGTAAGATCTCTGTTGCAACTACTCAACTCTCCTCTAGTAGTGCAAATACAGCCATACACAGCACCAGTGAGGCTGTGTTTCAATAAACTTTATTTACAAAGACAGGTGCCAGACTGCATTTTCAACAAAAAATAACAAACAAACATGTATTAGTTTGAGCCACAGGAATTGCTGTTTTTCTAGGTCAAGTATAGTTGATCATTGGCAAGTTTCATATACTTCTACCTAATGATTCCAGGTAATGTGCTATCTAAACACTTATCTTCAAAGATCTTGCCATTTTCTAACCTCTTATGATACTTATATTCAAAGGTAAATCCTCTGTCCCTCTGGAAAACTAACTGCTGGGATGAAGATGATGATGATGAATGATAATTTTGATGATGATGATATTTTCCTCTCAGGAGGACTAGACTAGAGTTTCCTGAAGGCAGGAACATGGTTGCCTTCCTGCGTCTCCCAGAGTGCTGACTCTTGGACTAAGCACAAAATATGGACTCATAGACTTGTGGGCTGAAAGTGCAATTGCCCAGGTGAGAAGACGTCTGATGCTTCAGATTCCAGGCAGACCTTATGAATACCTTCTGGTCTCAGGATGGGCAGGAAAAAAATCTTCACATGGTTAATGAGAATTCAAGGTGGCTTTTGGAAGAAGATAATTGAGATGAAGGCAGGACCAGCTACAGAACTTATAGGGCCAAGTGAAATATGAAAATGTGGGGCTTTTTGTTCAAAAATTATTAAGAATTTCAAGATAGCAACAGCAGAGCATTAAACCAAGCACTAGCCTTTCTGAGGGCATGGCCCTCTGTAGACACCAAGGAAGCCATCCGCATTAAGCCCGTCAGGTACAGATTTGGTCCTTATCATTATAGACTTAAAGTCTATTAATGTGAGAAACTTGAGAAACTGAGCATAAAATTCCAACATTCTTCTTTAGTATAACACATTGAACGATAGTAAATGCTATAGGGGGATGCTAAACAGGAAGTTTCAAATTCAAATCCTCCTTTTGCCAATTTCTGACTGTGTCACCTTAGAAAAATGTGTTAAGTTCTCTGAAGAGGCTCTCTTTTCTTATTTTGAATGAATGGCAAGAAATAAAATTGCTTACTATAAGAATTGTCAGAAATATTAAGGGGCCTAGATTCTTTCAGCAAAGTTACCTCAAGATTTTATTTTGGTGTGAATATATAGTCCTCGAGACATCCAGGTGAAGCTGGGAGTGAAGCAAAGACACTGCAGTTGGTCTGCATAATAGATTAAGAATGATGCTGAGGTCCAAATTTAGCTGAGGATAAGACACAATGAGAACAAAAGGAGAGGAAGAACTAAGCAGCATGGTGGAATGCTAGGCATTTATATGGAGTGATGATCACAGAAAACCCAATGGTGTTGAGACTGACCAAGAGAATTTAAGTAGCAAATATTTAATTTTACTTTGTTATCCTGTGCTGCAATATCCACCCACCCCACACAAACTTAGCCCATGGTCCAAAACTTCAAGAAGTTTTACCACCTGTACAATCTTTTGTAAGTGGTTGCCTTAGTTTGCTAGTGCTGCCATAACGAAAAGTACCATAAAGAACGAAGATTCATTGTCTCACAGTTTTGGAAGCCGAAATCAGGGTATTAGCTCTACGGGAGAGTCCTTCCTTGTTGGTAGCTCCAGGTGTTCCTTGACATTCCTTGGCTTATAGATGAATCTTCACACGGAACTTGCCTTCCTCCTATGCGTGTGTCTCTCTGTTTGTCCTTGCGTAAGAGACCACTCAGAAGGGATTAAGCTTAAGATTCACCCTACTCTGGAATGTCTTGATTAACATAACACAGAAAAACAGGGTCATACTCACAGGTAAGGAAGATAGGACTTCAACATCTTTTGGAGGGACAAAATTCAATCCATAACGGTAGTAATTTGGAGAATATAGTTTTAGGATAGTACCCATATGGGGAGAAGTGGGACAGAAAAGTTGTAAAATACAAAATGAAGATTGGGAATTTTCCAAGAGCAGGATGTTGGGGATAGAAACGAGGAGTCATGCAAGAACACCTAGAGATGTTTGGAGGGACCCTGGGTTACTCATCACTTGTAGGATAATGTTCAAGACAATTTTACTTTATTTAGAGAATCAGGGAACCCCATCAGAAGCTCAATCAAGAAGCTCTGGAGACATATAAGGAGGACTGATATGTGAGCTCCATTTTTGAGGGAATAACAGTACATACTGATCAGAATTGTGAAATTAAATAAGAAAATTATACAGAGGGCCCAGCATAATAACTGTTAGAAAGTAGGTGTTCAATAAATATGAGCTTCCTTTTCCTACTTTGCCTGATCACATATAGAGAATAAACAAGGAGACGTGTGGGAGGTAGCCCTAACTCCTAAATAAAAGATTGCCCTATTTCTCAATCACTTCAAAGTTCCCAAAATGATCTAGCAATTAAAGAATGCTGATTGTTACTTTTGCCAGAACCAGGGCTTCGGTGACCTGCTTCCACTACAGTACTCTGAAAAGAAGAAGCACTCACCATTAAGATGGACTTGATCATGGCACACATTTCTTGCAACTGACTGAAGCCACAATCATTGTTGTTGAATGAAAAAATACTCATGCTCAAAGCACTGATTATGATCCCTGTGGCGGCCAATACTGAGCTGGTGATATTCAGTCCTAGGCTACACTGATCCTAGAAAGGAATAAAAATCTTTTAAACAGTCCAACGACATCCTCAGATATGCCTCCATCCTTCACAATCCCTGCTTCTTCTCCAACACAGTCATCTTCTCCAGCAATAGCCTCCTAACTTGTCTCTTTCCTGATTAAAATGAACAAACAAACAAAAAAACCCAAACTCGTTACCATACAGTCAATTCTGACTCATGGCAACCCTATGTGTTACAGAGTAGAACTGTTCCACAGAGTTTTTTGTTGTTGTTGAGACTATACACAGCAACATATATACCAATTCAACACTTTCTATGTGTATAATTCAGGGACATTGACTGCATTCTTTGGAGTCTTGCAACCATTCTCACCCTCCTTTCTGAGTTATT